AAAGTTTTGGTTTTCTACCAAGGTCATGGTTCTAATGCCGTCAAGACAAATTGGGCGATGCATGAATATCATTCCCAGACAGTAAATCAGGCATATATCTGTTCTCATCTTCCTTATATTTTTTTGCCTTGCATTCCCGTTTCCCAGGACGATCATCATCTCTTTTAGTAACCTCCTGCATTACCTCCGATTTTTTAAACTTTACGATTGATGAATAATTAAGCGACAAGATGCATGTTTAATTTAGTTGCTCCTTACTGATATATTGATTAATATTGTACAACTTGAAGTATTAAAACTACAATCTTTTTTTTTTTTTACTGCTCTCGACATTTTTCTAGATCATATGGACATTTTGTGTACGGTACATGGACAAATATGCATGCATACAATTACAAAATATCTTATTGAACGTAGTATGAAGGATAGCAGTGGTAGCTAAAAATGATATTTTGTTTGTTCTGACTTTCGCTAAAAGTTCAATACGTACGTAAGAAACTTTAGCTTCCTTTTTAATATAAAAATAAATATTTCTTCCTCATGTCATCTGCCAAATAACACAACCACAAGATAACGAGCTTCTTTTTTTAAAATAATAATAATTTATTTTTGACTTGTGCAGAGGTGTTATGTTCTTTGTCGCTTAAAAAGAAAATGAGATGATGCAGAAGATGATCAACCAAGTTCCCGTTGGGCTTCTACTTCACGAAATTGATATCTGAAATTTGATATAATAGCAGGTAGTAGGAGGATTACTTATTTGTACATGGATTGCAATAAATTAAGCTGATATTCTCACTTGCTTATTGTATATATAATCACTGTAGAGATGAATGGTAAGACTGTATCAATTAAGTTGATCCCTATTAGTATTATGTTAATGTCTATTTCATAAGACTTCAATAATAGTTATTAACTAATCATATTTTTTTTTTATAAAGACATCTATTGTAATAATACTTTGTTTTTAGTCATTTTCAGATAGGAGTCTGAACGGGAATTTCAAGTGTGGCATGCTGATGGAATCAACTACAGCGCTGGAATAAATATGGAGTTTGCTTGAATATTTAATTAATAATTAGGACATACTATATTATGTTTTCAATATATGTAATGAAAAGTATTTTCATTTGTAAGCATTTGCAATTATCAACTTTATTAAAGAATGTTTAGGAATGTTTTTATGTAATTCAATTATTAACTATATATGTGAGTTGACATTAAAATAAATACACTTTCACTTGTTATTTTAACTATTTGATTGTATTACAATGGATGATTATTAAAGCGCGTCAAAAAAATTAAATTATAACATCACCACCTATACATAAAACAGTACTCCATAATACCTGAAATAAAGCCTATCATGATTTTTTTTTTTTTTTTGTTTTTGGACATCCATACTTCGACCCTTATTTCTCTCTATGCAGATAATTTCTCGTACTAATAAAAAAAGTGTGGGTCCTATGAAAAATGTTTGTTAAGAATTAACTGAAATTGAGCCTTCCTATAATATTCATTGAAGGTGTAGACGTAAAAATCTACCTATACGGAAGGGAGGTCTGATCCCGTGAGGTTGAGGCCACTAGCGATCTGTTGCACCTGCACACGTAGAGAAATAAATGCGTGAAGCGAACGAAAAACATCGGGGTGGTGTTTGCCGTAGGCACTCTGACGCTCAAGTCAACAAGGCTAAGAGAGACTAATGTAATGAGGGCTAGGGAGTAGAAAAGTTACCAGAAGTCTAGTCAGGGACTGTGACTATGGCGATGATGTGAAACTCTCAAGTAAGAGCTTCGGGTATGAATTTGTAATGTAATGTACCTTGTGAGAGGCTTGGCCTCTGCTTATATAGTGACTGTCTGGTCTCCCAATCCTGGTGGGAGTAGGAGTCCTAGTGTGACTCTGATACGAACCCTAGAGGAGTTAGGGCGATGGTGAGTTGTCTTACCAGTGTTTGATAGGAAGGTGATCCTAAACAGGAAAGTAACCTTAAATAGGAAAGTGATCCGAACATGAAGGTGGCCTCGAATAGGGGATTGATCTGGAATAGGAAAGTGATATGTAGGTGCCGTGGGCTCTGAACTCGCTCATAGGTCTAGGAAGTGAACTGGGATTGGGAGGCTTGTGCCCGGATAGTTTGGGCCGACTGTATCTCTTATAAAATGGGTCTAATCTGGATGGGGCCGCAGTGGGATTAGGTCTAGTCTCTTCCTCATTCAGTCTCATTCTCTTATTTGGGTCAAGGACGATTTTTGGCCCTAACAGAGAGCATCATTCAAAGTTATAGATTATTGAAGCTTGTAACACAAGGAGGTAGAAACTTGCAAGGAGCTGACTAATCATATAGGCATAACAAACTCAAAACCAACAAATTTTAAAGAATCTATTGAAGCTTAAGACAAAAGTTCTCGGAATCAAGTAACAAATATATTCCTCAGATTGAGGCAGTCTAGAATGTTCCATGAAAGCATTTTGATCACTAACTAAACTTGCACTAAAAGCTTTTCCAGAATGTTCTCTAGAGCATCTACTAAAATCATATTTATATTTGAATACATATATATTAGAATTGCCTTGATATATATAATTTATTAACTTCTGAAAGAAGGGAAAGTTAGTGAGCAACAGGACGACTTCACAAGAAAGTTTATAGTGATTCCTTCATGAATTGTTTTATATTTAATTGAATGAATAAAAATTGAGTTAGCAGATGTTATTAATTGATAAAAAGTAAAATAATAATAATAATAATAATAATAATTCTGTTGCATACACGATGACATGAGATCCATACGTGCATGGCGTGTACGTATCCCTTCACACGGTTTTAAGTTTGAGTTATGGGGTCTAGTCTACTAACAATTCTACGTGTCTAGATCACGTCAGCAAACTTCTTAAATAAGGTCAAGACTTTTAGTCAATGAGATAGAAGCCATCACATCTCCATTACTATAAATAAGTGATCTCTTTCTCTTCTATATTTATAGAAAAATATATACTTTCTTTGTATTGAATTGAAAGAAGAAAATGAGCAATTTTAATGTTCAATTGCTGGGACACAGATTCCACCCAACTGATGAAGAAATTATCACGTATTATCTGGAAAGAAAGATGGCTGGCCTTCATATTCCTCACAACGTAGTTAACGAAGTTGATATTTGCAAATTCGAGCCTTGGGAATTGCCTCGTAAGTGTTTATCACCACTTGCACAATCGGTTTATATTTCATGTTATTTAACCATTCATTTATTGTTGTTTTGATGCTGCATGTAGAGCTTTCAGCGCTGTTAGATGATGAAGAGTGGTACTTTTTCAGTACACCTTGCAAGTATGCCAACGGTAAAGGGACCAAAAGAACAACCAAGGGTGGTTACTGGAAAGTGACGTGTAATGATCGTCGTGTTTGGGACGAATGCGAAGAGAATGAGATTGGGAAGCAAACGACTTTGGTTTTCTACAAAGGACGTGGTTCTAAAGCGGTGAAGACCGACTGGATTATACATGAATACCATTCCAACAACGCCTCTTCTTATCAGGCATTATAAGTTTATTGATCATATTGTTTCTTATTAATTTGCTTTTGATTATTTACCCTGAAAATATGTTGTTATATTCATGAACATTTCTTTTTTCTTTAAACTTTTGCAGAATGCATTTGTTTTCTGTCGCCTCAAAGGACAACTAGAGGATGGGTCAAATACTTATACCGGCGGCGAACCAAGCTACAGTTGAGCTTACGATTCTGGAAATCATGATGGAATGAATAGCATTGTGTGTATAATTAGGGTTTGATGACAGGTGATGGAATGAATAGCAAGGAAGAGTATATCATCTATATATAAAGAAACTAATTAGATGTAATATTGTCGGGGAGTGGAGTTCCCAGAGAAAATTTGAGTGATTTTTCTATACGTGTCGTCTTAATTTGTAAGCTGTGTTTGTCGTACGTGTTATGTAGCTCAGTGTAAGCTATGGTCATGTTTGATTGTAGTCTAATCAGTACTAAAATGAATTTGCTTTTGTGGAAATTGAAACGTGGTACAGTGAGAGGGAGAATGTAACAAGAATATATGAATTGGAAAAAAAAAAAAAAAAAAAAAAAAAATTTGAAATTAAGGTATTCTAGAATATTCCAGGAAACCTGCTTTTGGTAATTTATTGAGAGAACTTATGAAAGAAGGGAGATAGATATAAATAAGTGGGGAACATAAAAAATCAAGGAAAGTGACCAGAAACAAAATGAAACAATTTGAGAAGGGAAGAAAACAAAATCAATGGAAGGTTTATGTATAATATTACTTTTATCAATTTATAAAGTTATATGTTGTAGTAGCTATATATATTTTTAACCATGATTCTATATCTATCCTTCTACCCCTAAATTTTAATTCTAGCCATATATAACATAAGTTTTAAAAGAAGATAATTGGGTCATAAACTGAATCGAGTTTATCATTTATTAACATTTATATTTGTAGAAAAATTTTTTTTTTTTTTTTTTTAATGATTAGAGGTATCAGATTAGCTTATATATACTTTAATTAATTTTTTAAAATATTAAAATTATCAATTGAATAAAAACTCTAATAATTATCTTTTATTAATAATAAAAAAGGGTATCCTTAATAGCTTCTCTAATAAACTCAGTCGGTATAAATTGACAAAAAATGAGGTATAGATATATAAAGACGCGGTTTTGGCTCGCTGCTCTTTAGTACCTCTCCATCCAATATCCTGAGAACACGTATCCAAAAGGCCGCAGATATCTTCGTAATTAAGCTCACGAAGACTTAAGACAACAGTGAATGTTTAAGTCAAGTCAATGCGTTACGTCTGTATATAAACGAGAATGACTCAACGAGTGAGTGAGTGATCACTCGCCATTGCCTATCTATCTCTGCTATTTCTGCTGCCTTCTTCTTGTATTGTAATTTGTAAAGCTTAGGATATTACTCTTTCTCTTCTCTCTTATACTTCCATCCATTTCTATAATTAAAATGAATCAGGAGGTGGCCGTGGGAGTCAGATTCCGTCCAACTGATGAAGAACTCATCACGTATTATCTTTATATGAAGATGAGCGGCCTTGAATTCCCTTTACCTATCGTTAGAGAAGTTGATATCCGTAATTACAATCCTTGGGAATTGCCCGGTAAGTAGTCAGTTATACACTCACTTCACAATCATTTTAAACCAACAAATTAGTGAACTTGTTTTTGCACATATGCAGAGCAATCCATACTCGAAGATGATCAAGTGTGGTACTTTTTCAGTACACCTTCTAAAAAGTATGCCAACAGTAAACAGATGGCCAGAACAACTAGTGAGGGAACTGGATACTGGAAAATAACTGGTAGGGATCGTGAGGTCAAGAACAAACGTAGTGGGGAGGTGATTGGTATCAAAAAGACTTTGGTTTTCTACGAAGGTCGTAATCCTGATACAGTCAGAACCAGCTGGGTGATGAATGAATTTCATTCCATCAACGCCGCTTCTTCTCAGGCATACCTTTCCTTCTTTCTTATTTACTACTTCAACTAGTTTAGTGATTATGGATTGTCTTATGTCTTCGCTTTCATGTTCTATCCATCAATTTCTGTATCAAATTTGTTTTGCCATTTTTCTATATTCTATATAATTTCTGTTGAATTAAGTGCCGGGCTGCGTAATGTAGCCGGGCTTTGTTGATTTTGCAGCAATTTAGTAGGAGTGATATCAATGCAAATAATTGATTAATGGAATTCTGTTTGCTCTGTCTTGTCACCTACAAGTTCAATAAAGTAGTATAATTCGGGCTGATGAAGATATATATTCGCAATGTGCTTGTAGCTGTTATTCTGTTCATATTCTTTATTTGGGAAATTGGGTCTCTTCACTGAGTAATATACACAAAGAGACAACAGCTCCTATTCCTACATGCATTGGCGGATAGGCATGAATCCATAGCAATCTTGGTGATTTATCATTGATGTTGTAAGAGGTCTTTTTTTTTGGTGGTGTGAATTTATGATGAAACGAAGCATTGAACCTTTTAAAAAGTAAAATAAGATAAATGTAAAGCTGAATTTCATGGTGTTGCTGGTTTGAGGTACTCAATGTTACCCAGTCGGAGCAGCTTCTGCTAATGGTTAGAATTGAAAAGGATGATAATCATTTTGTCAATTGATCCTTGTTCCATATGTATTATCAAGTACTTGTATCTCTGTGTCCCGTGGATTATGAAGTTTTTATATACAATGCTACCAATTTTATCTTCAATCTAAAAATGTTGAAAATGTTTTAAATCCAATGTTTGTTATTTGATACTTAACGAGTATTAAGTGTTTAACTTGATTTTATTTTTTAATTTTGAAAATACTTGTGGGTTAACTTGATTTTCTGTCGACATAGTAATATACAATTATAATTTAATAAAAACTATGTACTTAATTACTCATTTAACTGCACTTTTATTCAGAAACCTATAGTTCAGAAAAAGAGATGCAAAGTTAATTAAAGCATTTGGAATTTGATTTCGTTGGGTTTAGGGTAAAGTTAACGTGGAATTGGCTTCAACATCAGAGTTAATTTGGATTATATGTATTTTAATCTTCTAAAGCACAAATGCACTAGGCAACAATCACATCTCAATAATCATCAAAATCAAGCTCCCAGAACTCAAAAGACTTGAAAAAAAAAATTTGGTTTAATAAAATATGTAAGAATTCATTTGAATTGATATTTAAAATATACAATTAATTTTTTTTTGGTTTAATTTGGACACAGCTTATCAATTTATGTTTGTATGAAGATGTGGACAACTATGAACTAAAATATGTACGGACAAGTCTGGCTTGGTGCGGTGGTCAACAAAACAAAAGATAGTACAAATCTAATCTAATGCTTAATTAGTTAGTGGACCCTCCTTATAAACCTACTTTGTAGTTTCTAGGAACCACAGGGTGTAATGGGTTACCCCTTGTGAGACTACTACCACTATATTTATTTATTAATTTAATGATCCGAAGCTGTTTAGAGAAGTTATGGGATGAATGAATAGAGGCAAGGAGAAGGAGAAGGAGAAGGAGAAGGAGAAGAAGGAGATGTTGATGGAAATGTAGTTAATAGTCAAAAATTTACTGAGCATATAGATGTTTAGTGGAGAAGTTATTGTCTCCCCTTTTCCTTTTCCACTTAGTTATAACAATTGGTCAGATGATCCTTTCTAGTAAAATGGTGTGTTTAGAGTGATAATTTGAAGAAGTGAAATTAAGAAGAATGTTCCCAGAAAGAGCATCTTTGAATAATTGAAGAAGAATGGAAAGTGTTGATGCTTGATTTTGACACCAATGACCTCACACATGCAAAGTATTAAGCAGGTCTTAAAAATTACACGTGATTAATTTGAGAGTTAGGCTAAGGTCACAGTGGCATGCAAAGACTTAATAGTAAATGAGACAATGAGAATTTTATAATGGTTCGAATGCTTAAAGTGATTCTTACATCCATTGTTTTCTTTTACATGAGTGTTCTTAGTTATTAGCCAAGTTATAAGAGGTCGCGAACTGTGAACAGAATTACAAGAGCTCGGTATTCAGAGTGAATATTAAGCCAGTCTTTTTTCCGTAGGTTGTTTTGGCTAAGTGTCTTTTTTTAAATCAGAGATCCCAATTTTGTAAGTGAGAGTCCTCTATTTATAGCCGCTGAGTTCAAGGTAATGATTACAAGTTTATAAGTGGGTAGGTGTCGTGCAAGTCCTTCCTTGCGTCCCTTGGCTAATAACTTAGAAAATATCCTTAAACTATATAGGGCTTAGACAAGTGTGTGGACCTCATTCATTTACAGACAAAATTTGAGCCTACTGAGTTGGTGATAGCCATATTCTCTCTATCTTGGGACTACGTGGTAGATTCTGGATGACGCAAAGCCTTCTTGAACTCTAATTGGTGCTCGTTGATGTAAGCTTACATCAACCTTGATTTTTTAGGCATAACAGAAAACATTTGATTTGCCTGACTTTATAAACTTGTTATGGAAGGATAGATATATGATCATATGACAAATGACAAGGAAAAGAGAACAAACTAACTAATCATAAAATTACATTAAAGTGATCGTGCGATATGACGTCCCAAGCCAATGATATGAGAGACTCAAATCAACGGAAGTATTGCATGGCGGGGACAGCTTGAGTGTCAAGTTTTCATGTATTCTACTATTTTGCACTATATTATAAAGGTTTCATTTGTACATTTCGGTGGAAAAGATTATGAGATGCATTATAGTTTAACTGTTTTTATTTCATTCATTTTTAATTTTGGAGTAGAAAACGACGCAGCGTCGGTATAAAGGGATTTGAATATACATATATAGTTTGCATGAGAAGGGGGTCCGCTTTGTTGACCAAAGAGTAAGAAAGGGCAAAGTTGTAAATTAGCTGTNTAGTTTCGCCATTGGGGAAAAAGTCTCTTGATAGTCTATACCGAAAGTCTGAGTGTATCCCTTTACCACAAGTCTTGCTTTGTACCTTTCAATAGATCCATCTACCTTATGTTTGATAGTAAAGACCCATTTGCATCCTACTGTCTTCTTTCCTTTGGGCAATGGAACAAGAGTCCATGTCTTATTTTTCTGTAGGGCCTCCATTTCTTCTTTCATTGCCTGAGTCCATTTTGGATCTGCTAAAGCTTCTTGTACATTACTAGGAACAAGAATAGAGGACAATTGATGCACAAATGCCATTAGTGGTTTTGGTAACCCTTGAAATGACACATGATTAGTACTCGGATACTTTGAATTCTTTACCTCATAATCTGGAGAATACCAGTCTGGTGGTTTTCCACGATTATGCCTAAAAGGTAACTTATAACTAGCAGAAGTATCCAACACATTAACAAGAGAAGGAGTACTAGAAGAACTTACCTCAGGAATATTCTCAGGAGATTGGTATGTTGGTACTAAAGGATGATAGGGGGATTCTTCAATTCCAGTTTTACTTCTTCAATTTCTGTTATACCAAGGGAAGTTTCAGTATTTTCTTTTTCACTTTCTCTTATGCCAAAGGAAGCATCTAGTTGTTGTTCTTCCTCGATTGAAGTTCCTAGATTGTTAAACATTGTCCAGTTCTGCTTTTTACTCAATATCTCCCCCTGAAGAGGAGAAGTAGATAGCGGGTCAGAAAAAAAAGTCTCAGACTCCAAGAAGGTGACATCCATGTTTACCATATGATGCAAAGGGTGCAGATTGCAGTTCTGTAAAAGATGAAGGGTCGCACAGTAACTTGTCAATACACTGTCGTTTTGAGTTGACCTTTTTTGTTAATCACTTAAGCTCAAACGAGCTACGACACTTTACTTACTTTACCAATTCTTTCTCTTTCGTGTTTTTCTCTCCTCTGTATATAAGAGAGATTTTGATTGTATTCTAAATCTATTCAACTTAATACAAATCAGATCCTACATTTTTCTCTCTTACCTAAATATTTACATGGTATTAGAGCTGAAGACAAACGTTTACAACAGTGATTCTTGGCTTTTTCTGTTCAATTCATCACTATGGAGAAAACAACGCTCCTTAATCCAGTTCAATCTTCAATTTTCTCATCCAATTTGCAAGTGATTACTCCGAAGCTGACGAGAGATAACTACAAGGATAATTATCGATTCTGGAGGTCTCAAGTGCTATCACCTGTTGGAGCTCATGAATTGGAATAACATCTAACAGGTGCTATTCCATGTCCTGATCCTTTAATTGTTTCTGAAAGTGTTAATTCATCTTAGTCAAATGAAACCCTAGCTAAGGAAAAACTTAATCCAGCCTATGTATCATGGAAAAAGACTGATAAATTCCTTGTTACTTGGCTCTTAGGATCGATTTCAGAATGTATGTTTAGTTACATCTCTAAGTGTCAATTTGATACTGAAATCTGGAATGCTCTTGAAAATGAGTTTATTACCGACTCTAAAGCAAGAGCTCTTCATTTGAAGAATCTCCTGCAAAATACTCAAAAAGGAAATATGAGTGTCAATGAGTTTGTTAAGAAAATGAAGAGTATTGCTGAGAATTTAACAGCAATGGGCAAGTTATAACTGATGAAGACTTACTTTAGTATGTATTAGATGGCCTAGGTCCAAAATTTGATGCTACTGTTGTTAACCTAACATCTAGAATTGAGTCTAAGTTTGATTCAGTATCTCTTCAAGAAGCATAGTATCTACTCCAGAAATATGAAATGCGATTGGAGAAATTAAACAGTGTAGATTTTGCTAATAGTTCAGTACATGTTGCTTCTCTTAATAATACTGTGTCAAGAGGATTACAAGGCTCTACTGATGCTTCTAATACTCTCCATCAAGTTCATCAAGTACCTTTTCTGTCAAACACTACACCTTCTACATAGACTTACTCTACACAGACTTACTAGCCTACTGCACCCAATTATTCACCTAGTAATGGATATTTTTCACATCCAAGTAATTTTGGGCATCCAAGTTATTCTAGTGGAACTTTTGAACCTGCTGTCACAAATTACAGACTATCAAGATTTCAATCCTATGGAAGAG